TGGTTAATGATGTCAGGTATCTGAAGAAGACTGGAAAACTTGAGAAGTACTGTAATGATCTTAATTCCATTAAAAAACTGACCTTAAAAGAGGAAGATGAAGACGTTATAATAGAAAAGGTTAAAATGAAAAGTCGGTATGAAATAGTGAAGATAGTTATGTGAAATGTGCAAGACGTCGTGTCAGAAGTGCAAGAAATCAAAAACATATTGAAGCATGAAAAGAAAGAAGCAGCAAATTGAACCTATTAACTTAAAAATTCTGTGTAGAATATTCAAAGTAAAGCTAGATCAAATTTACCGTCTAAACAGATTGATTTTACATATTGGATATGATACAAGTAATTAAACTAATGTGGATATGATGGGTTTTTTTTTTTTACAACATACTATATCAAATTTACATTCTCAACAGATTGATTTTACATATTGGATATGATACATGTAATTAAACTAATGTGTAAATGGTTTTTTTTAAAATATACAGGACATGGGGTTGTGGGAATTTAAAATAACTGTTTTTGAACTACTGTTAAAATGAGTTTTCATTCAAGCATTTTGTTTCGATGCATTGATACATATTGCAAGGACAATTGGTTTAAATGTTGACTATGCTGAAAACCTAATTTAATGGTACCTGAGCAAAAACTTGTTGAACGATATTCAAGATATGGAGGTGTTTTGACAATATTTTAATGTCAACTTATCAAATATCTAAATTTGCATGATTTTATTCGAATTTTTCATTCTTCAGTCTGTTTGACTAGTCGACAGGAGATTCTCACTCCTCCATGGCACCTGATCCCACTTCTGGTGTTTTAGAGGTCTGTGTAAAACTTGCTCTGCTCCAGTTATTGCAGCCCGGAGGACCGGGCTGCTCTATACATATAAGTTTAAGTGTTGGTGTATGGGGATTGGGGTGGGAGTAGTTATTTAGAACTTAAAGTTTTCTAAACATTGAATAGATTGTTTTTCAGAACGTTCTTTCTGTTTATAAATTACAATATATATAGCATATTTACTTCCGTAAAGTGAATCTGTAAAAATATATATGTTTTACATATTTAATATTTAAAGTTGCGTATCATTTACTATCGAAAAAACGACAGATCCCTTTTTTTAGAACATCGAATTTTACTCCTCGCATAAAAACGTACTCCGCACAGTTCAGGTTATATAATCCTAAAACTGAAAAATAATACATTTTTGAATATAGGTGATACATGTGTCTAACTTCAATTTATATTTTATGAAGCCAATTTTTACTTGAGGAAATGAATAAGTTTAAAATGGTATCGTTTTAGTTTGATTTTTATCCGACTATAAGTTTTCAAAATATTCGCAACTATGGTCTCTATCAATTAGACGCATGCCTTTTCACCCACATCGATGCGGTTATTTTCATTGTTTACTTTATATATTTCCCGGGCGACAATTGATGGTTACATCAAAGTTTTCTTGTGTATTGTTTTATGGACTTTGATATTGAATACTGTGCGTTATCTCCATTTCCTTAAGCTTCTGTTTTAATTTTAACGTTAATTAAGTTACCCGAGTCATACAAGTAGACAATTGCTTTCAGTTTTCATCGTCTGTCGTGCATGATGGTAACATTTTCAGCATTTTGAACTTTTAACATATATAAATCATATGCTTTCTTTGTTTGCACGAGAATTAATGTTGTAGCTATTGCAGTAAAAATGCATATTAAACAACAAAAGCGGGTTATTTTTTCTATAATAGCTGCAATATTAATTCCCGTACTAACAAACTTGAAAAGATATTTTATTGTATCACACCTAAACGAAGTTTAGGGGGCCTTATGTGATACTCTTGGTATTGGCGTCAGTGTCACAGGATGCCCTACATTGGTCAGAGATGCACTTAAGATGCTTCTGATGTGTTGTGTCATTGTACCAGACAAGGTTTCAGATGCTGCAATTCTAGCTGCAGATTTGTAGCGTTATGGTATATGTGTTTTTGGCCACAACGCTAAAGATCCAGTAATATTAGTTACACAGTCAGTTAGTGACCTAATACGGAATCATACAGGGTGTGAAATGGAAATCCGTATTGGGCGAGGCGAAGCCGAGTCCCAATACGGATTTCCATTTCACACCCTGTATGATTCCGTATTAGGTCACTAACTGACTGTGTAACGAATTTATCCCGCTGAAGACCTAACGTTAATTCTTAAATATTTTAAAAAAAATATATGTGCATATTATGAAAATATTACGTTTTAATCCAATAACAATCAACATAAAATATCGTAACAAGAAATTTAAGTAATCAAACTACCTACGATAACCGTTTCTTAGCCGCCATTTTTATTTACAATAACAACGCTTCGAACGGAATCGCGTGCCCGATTTTCATATTACGCCTTGACGGAGACGTAATATTGAAACGGAGACGTAATACGGAAAATTTCAGGGCGTCATGTGATCAGCTTTTATCCAATCAGCAATCGTCAAATTTGTCTGAAGTGGGATAATGCAAAAAACGTGCAATTTACGGCGCAATACTTTTTGCGTACTTTGGGGAAGAATTTCTCCACTTCAAGCATTGGTCAATCAACAACCTTTCACTCCCTATAATTCTAGACACATTCTGTAGTCGATATGTATATTTTATCCACCTCCGAACCATTTATAGTTGTCTCTACAGGCAATAAACTCGCTTGAAGTGAATTTGCAGCAATCCAACAAATAATTTTAATCAAGCGAGTTTATTACTCGCAGAGACGACTATAAAGCTTAAGGGTTGGGAGATAGATAAAGTATACAGATAAGTTTAAATAATGTGCCTAGGATTCATCATTAAATTTTAAACAAAATGTAAGAAAGGTCGCTTTTAAGCCAAACAGTATGAGGGTCACTCAAAAAAATATGCAGACAATGTTCCTCAGCAGATTATTTTTACAAAATTTAATATCTATACATTTTCATGTAAAAATATATATTATATAAATTTTTGAAGTTTCATTCTATTTGATTAAGTGGAACTCACGTTAGCCAATTTTAAAAGCAACATGTTTTGTCACCATGGAGCACGGTAAAAAACATTGTAACGTCAAAAACAACGTTTAAAAAAAATTCTCAAACTCATTGTGCCTTTTCTTTTTATACATGGGTTTGTGTCGTATTCCTCATTCATTAAAACATATCCACAACACTTGACACCTAGTATTCTAACAATAGTTTAAGATTGTCAATGCTTTCAAATACTTTGCCATGTATCTCTGCTTTTACAGGTTCCGCAACAGTGAAGCGCACATCACGTTTCATGACAAGATTTTGAACTTTGCGGAGCGGCCATCGCCCAATTTAAAGTCTTTACTCCTCAAAATTTGCCATTTCCATTATAAACAAATACACGGCTCATTCAATCTAATTAAAATTAGATGTTAGATCCGCTCGCATACTCGCTACAGTTAGTGTAGCGAGTATGCGAGTGGATCAAACATCTAATTTTAATTAGATTGCGGCTCATTTTTGTATTTTTCCTGGTTTATCCAGCATTTTTGAGTTTGTTTTAAAAGTTTCCAAATGCAAAACAGAATTATATTGCTACTCGCTGCTCCCTGACGTCCTTTGATGTCATGATTTTTTTAATCAAGACTGTCTGTCTATTGAAATTGATATCTTTTAACAGAGCAATGTATTACATTGACTTTTAGCTTTTGAAGAAATGAAACAATACTTAATTTTAAGTATATAAGTTTTATTTCATTTAAGAACAATTTTAAAAGAGGTATGGCCATAGGTATGAAAAGTTAATTTATCAGTCAATAACTCAATTTTGACCCTGCTCCGTGACCCCATTTTTGCTGTCTAAAATCTTGGATAATTTTGAAAAAAATCAAAATATAATCCAATTTCTTTGCTCAAAATATTTGAATCTGTTGTTAAACTATATATACCAAATTTGGTTTAAGTATGACGTTAAATAAAAAAAAGTTATGGTTTAAATACGACGTTAAATAAAACAAGAGACCCATGGGCCACATCGCTCACCTGAGAAGCTTTGACAATTCTGTACTTTACTAGATTTACCCCTTGTAATACATATTGTGACCCCACCTTACCCCACTGTTCATAATTTAGACAATTTGAAATCTACACTACCCCAGGATGCTTCCAAATAAGTTTCAGCTTTTCTGGCCCAGTTGTTATTAAGAAGAAGATTTTCAAAGCTTTTTCCTATATATTTCTATGTAAAACTTAAATTCCCCATTGTGTCCCCGCCAAATCCCTGGGGGTCATGATTTGAACAGTTTAGAATCTACACTACCCCAGGATGCTTCCACATAAGTTTCAGCTTTTCTGGCACAGTGGTTCTTGAGAAGAAGATTTTCAAAGATTTTTCCTATATATTTCTATGTAAAACTTTGATTCCCCATTGTGGCCCCGCCCAATCCCCGGGGGTCATGATTTGAACAATTTAGAATCTACACTATCCCAGGATGCTTCCACATAAGTTTCAGCTTTTCTGGCACAGTGGTTCTTGAGAAGAAGATTTTCAAATATTTTTCCTATATATTTCTTTGTAAAACTTTGATTCCCCATTGTGGCCCCACCCAATCCCCGGGGGTCATGATTTGAAAAATTTAGAATCTACACTACCCAAGAATGCTTCCACATAAGTTTCAGCTTTTCTGGCCCAGTGGTTCTTGAGAAGAAGATTTTTTAATGACCCCACCCTATTTTTGTCTTTTCTTGATTATCTCCCCTTGCGAGGGGATATGTCCCTTCATTTTACCAATTTAAATTCCCTTTCACCCAAGGATGCTTTGTACCAAGTTTGGTCATAATTGGCCCAGTGGTTCTTGAGAAGAAGTCGAAAATGTGAAAAGTTTACAGACGGACAGACAGACGGACAGACAGACGGACAGACGGACGCCGGACAAAATGTGATCAGAAAAGCTCACTTGAGCCTTCGGCTCTGGTGAGCTAAAAAGCCATGACAAAAGTCTACGAACTTTTTGAATGACCCTCGTATACATGGTATAATACAACACTGTTTAATGGGTGTAATGTATTTCAGAGCATAGATGTATTAAAATCACAGTGTTGTACATTCTGTGTGTATTATATTAAAGTTATACATAACAAAATACAGTTAAATTATCACATAATATATATATAGATTGCAATTTGAAATCTTTGGCCAATACCTAGCTCTATTATTTATCAGCAATAAAATTGAATAATGATGCCTAGTACATGTATTTAAAAAGTGTGACACGATAGAAAAGAAGAATAAATTTCAATTAAACATTGCCAGTGAAGCAGCTAGAAAGTATACAGGCTTCACTGTATATTTTGATGACATATTCTATGCAAATTTTAAATATCCAATCATGGGAGATGCATAGTCACTCAATACTAGTATTCATCATCGCCATGAAATATCATCACATTATTTAATATATTCCAAATATCCACACTTCACATAAAGTGAAGCTACCAGATTCTCTAGGTTTTCCCTCCTAGCATAACTTATCAACAGAGCTTGTAAATGACAAAAGTTCTGCTTAATAAATCACCAAATTTAACAATGGCATTTTAAAAAATAAATTCAAGGTTGGTTGTTGTCTTATTGTCACCATTACTGGTGATCATTGGTGTACAGAGGAGGTACCATATAGGCATGAAATGACTGGATATCAAATAAGCACTACCAGACCCTAAAAGCAGGCGTTGACTTTGTTATTGACCTAGCGTTACCAGTACTGATGATTATTGGTGTAGGGAGGGGGTACCCTATAAACAGGAGGTGGTATTGTAGTGAGAGGGTTGTAGTCGGGGGTGGAGGGAAGTGACCTTTGATCGATCAGGTCCACTTCAGATGAAGGCAGCTCGTCATCACGTGACAAAATGGTGGGGTTCCTGGGACAAAGAGAGGGGTCCTCCACAGGGACCTCAGTCTGAAAAATGACGGGTCTCCTCTCCTCCAGGAACATGGGCTTGTCTGAGTGGAGTAGGTACTGCTTCCTCCTCTTTGTACAACAGACATACACAATGACGATCATCACAATAAGGATGGATAGTAGGATTATAACAGGGAGCACAATCTCAAACCAAAGGTTGATGTCTGATTTAAATCGAATGAATGGAATATTTGTGGTTTCTTCCACTAGTGAATGGTTTTGTGTGAAATGTTCAAATTTTGTAATCCTGAACCCTGGCAGAAAGAAGCATGAAAATTCTCTGGTAAGTTCTCCTTTCTCATCTAAAATTTTGCTTTCTTCAGCAGAAATGATATCTATTGTTTCACTCTCCTCTGTCATTAACAAAACAAGTGAACAATTTTCTCTTTTAGTAATAAATATTTCTCTGCTGATGTTGAACCAATTTTTAAGTTCCTCTACAAAAACATACAAGTTTCTCAGATCCTTTACTGGACAAATAGGGTCATCTGAAAAATCCACCACAAATCCATGCTTGGTAATGGTGTACATTTCATTTAATTTCCTAGATATCTCAACTCCAACTGCATCATGGGAAGACTGTCCACAAGAATCCTCTGCTACCACCAGTAATACTTCATTTCTCACAGCAGATTCATTCAGGACTAAGCCATAAATCACCTGATCATCAGTATCAAATTGTATCCAATGGTTGCTAGGTAATGGAATACCATAGCCTGTTGTCATGGTAACAGTTAGCTGTCTTGTGTCTCCATCCTCTGCATCATAGAAATATTCAGGATCCAGCTTCATGTGAAAAAGTTTGCCTGGCGTCAGAGAGATGTAGTCTATTGGTTTCTTCAGAGCAGGTGGATCTCCACATAACCCTGAAACATTTACATTTTATTTATAGAGTGTTTTATATAATTTTTCTATACAGAAAGTATCATTGATGAGCAAAAGAATAACATAAACAAATAATCTTACAGATATTATAAATCAGTTTATTTGCTGAGTTTTGAAATGTCTGATAATAAAAGTATAATGAATAGTAAAACCAGTTCCATCACTTACTTTAAATTTGATGAGTTCTCTGTTTCATACATTTACACAAGGGCCAACGTCATGCCAGTAATTCACCATTCACACTCGTGCTTTTACCATATCTTTATCTAACCAATCTTGTCATGCAACATGCAGAGACACTGTGACAAAATCTACAATCAATATATACTAATCACACTAAAATAAAAGTGTGTAGGCCACTTTTGCAGAACAATATTTCTGTATGTACTATATACTTATTATAATGACAGCTGCAGACATGCAAATGTTTATCATAAAAATTCACCCTTTCTTAACTTTATGACGAGTTTTACACATATTAATCTTGTTATAACCATTCTCAAGCAAGCTGGTGTAACAGTTATACCCTGCCATTCAGTGAGCCATACATTTCTTTCCTTTTGGAAAACATTAAAAATTTCAAAACCTTTTTCACGATTTGGACATGAAGTGTAATTGCAGATATGTCAATTTAAGGAAAAAAAGCATAATTCACTTTCAAAAGCACTAAATAAAAAGCTAGGTCATCTCTTAAGAAATGTTTAGTTGCCCTCTCCTGGCCGACTGGCTGAAATGGCAAGACTTGAAACTTTTTTTTAAAGAATTTAAGGGGTACATTATTTTCTTTTACATTTCCTGGATATAAGATTAAAAAAAAAATAACCATAAGATTGAAATTGAAATTTTCTTACAAAAATAGATTTTCACCTGCTTACCTACTCAATGTTTTCATTCTCAGTCAGACAAAGGCAAACATACATTTTAAAGTTGGCTCTACAGTTATTTATTAATTTCATTTAACTAACATTTGAAATCCTATGTACACAGGATAAGAAATATATACAAGAGACACCTACTATTTAGGGTAACTCATCACGAAGCAATAAGATTTAATCTTGAACATTGCAAAATATTTGTCAAGTAGCAAGTTAGTCTGAACACTTCATATACAGTATATGATATCTCATTCATTAGGGGAACTAGCATTGTTAAATGTGGAAAATTTTTAGCTCATCGACAATGACATGCCTGTACCTGTACCTGTAGATTTCTTCTGTGTGAGATGGAGATAAATGTCTGTGTATAACGTAGGACAGCGTGTGGTGATGTTGAGGTCTGTAGAGTTCTGTAGGTCCTGTACAGCTACAGTCAGATGTTGTGTCCCAGGACGGGGGGACTTTATCTCAATGTGCCCATCCTCTGTTACAGATACATCTGGATCTGAACTATTTATCTACAATGTTAAGTACATCTCTTCCTGTACAGATCTTAGAACATAACATCACTATTAAAGCATTTTAAAAACATGTGAGAAGTTTTTTTTTATCAGAACCAATGAAGTTTTTCATATGTTTCTTAGCTCTAAACTTAAAAGTTGTAAAATTTTTCATTACATAAAATTAAAATGCATATTGATCAGAATACCGGTAGTTTATAACATTCATTTGGCAATTGAAATGACTCTTTTTATTCACAAAGAAAATGAATACAATTTTACGAGTTAAAAATACAAGTTTTTGTTTGTTTTGTTTGTAATATAAACATTTATCACAGTCAATTAATTTGGAGGGGAGAAGGGGAAGGGTCTTGATAAAAATGGTGAATTACATGCAACTTTTTTAGTTGGATATCATCTTAAATTTGTTGAGGCTTGCCCCTTATAAATTGTTTACTACCAGAGCAGTCTGGTATCCTGAAGGTAACAATATGGTGTAGTTTAACTGCTGTGTATCTTTCTCCACTCGTTCTGTGAGATGAGCCTCTGCCCTAGACGGAGTTAATATTATGATTTTCTGTTCCGTCTCTGATACACTGCTGACCAATACACACCCAAACACAGCCATGTAAATCACACCGAGGTTCATTCTAAAATTTAAAAAAATATATTTCTAACACTTATGTGTAATTTATAATTTCTATTATCAAGAAAATTCTTAAGTGTTAAGAGATACAGTAGAGTGTGTTTATAAAAAGGATGAGCAATTTTGTTTTCATTTATACATGTAATCCAATACCATAAATAATTCGTTTGTAAACATGTTTTACTTCATCGATCTCAAACACATTTATAAAACATGATTACACCTGCCACTTACTATATATTAATTACTGTATATACTCGCCTATAAGTCGGTTGTATTTAATCAGCTTATATTTCAGAAGGACTGACCTCATATAATACAATTGTTTTGATAGCTGCAATAATGTAGCCCTCACCGATTTTGTTCATCTGATATTTTTCTCCCAAAAAAAAAAAAAAAAAAAAAAATTGGAGAGGGCTACATTATTGCAGCTATTGTTTTGATAGCTCGCCTATAAGTCGGATACAGAGTTTTGGACCAGATATTGACTCCCAAAAAACCGACTTATAGGTGAGTATATACGGTAGTATCTTTCCCACTCATATTTAATAAATAAGAAGGATATAGTGACAGTAATGCATATACCAACCCTTTCTACCTTTAGTTAACTTACTGTTGTATAATCTCCCAAGCAGAATTGTAGTTTGTTCCTCTCTCAGATATCTCTGCAATTGGCTCACATCAAGATTTTTGACATAACGTATATAAAGTAATATTTGCAGGATTGTTTCAAATTAACATTATTTAATTAATGGTTTTGGATTGATTTAGTAAATATCTCTCTCAAAACTCAGATATAAGTTTCTCGTGTTTATCACTGTGATATATTCGAGCCAACAACAGAGGTGAATGTTTGAGCCAATGGTAGAGTGACTGTAGTAATGTAATACTGTACAGTTTATATTCATTAATGTAATACAGTTTATATTCACATGAATTCATTCAATAAATACATCTTTTCATAATTAAGTCTGCTAAACGTTACAAATACCTCTCAATGGAAAACTTTTCATTCATTCATTCTTTATTTCCACTATTACAGTGATTAATGAAAATTGAACAAACACACAAAAAAGGATATCACATATGAGATAAACAATGAATTGCATGCAAACACACACATATAAATATATATAGAAAAATATATATACATATGTATATATATATTTATTATTTACAATGTTTTAGATCACAAAATCATTTGGGATCATTACTTCATACACATGTATATATAAATATGTCCTCGCGTGAACAAAAAATCTATAAATGAACTTTGGGAATAAGAAATAAAGGAGCTGGAAGCATCCCTCATTGGCAGATTTGCAGTGCGGAAAGATTGCGCTTATAAAAGGCACACCCATTGACAACCCAGCGAAAGTTTCGTAACTGGTAGTTTCAGAGGTTGAAGGTGGATAGAATGGGGTTCGGCTTACGGCCTAGAAGAATCATGTACCGTTCATCATCAGTAAGGGCACACAGTTCAACACATAAGCTAATGTCAAAGTAATTAATTACATCCTCCCACCTTAGATTCCTTAGAATGAATCTAAATCTATTGATTAATCAAAAGGCTGTTTGAAATTAAAAATGATCTCTCCAATTACTGTTAGCGACCATAAATTTTATACTGCAAGTTGCAACCCCTTTCAAGTTGAATGAAACCTCAGTGTGCCTAATACAGAGCATCACATGATAGAGAGATCATAGTCAGGATGAGGATTGGAGACTATGGTCATGGTAAACATGACTATGGCACAGGAGTCGGCAAGTTATGTTTACCATGGGTTATTGATAAAACTGCCGAGAGTATCAGAAACTGCAGGTATTTTTTATTCACGCGTCTGGACTGTTTACTCTGTACAATGTACATATATATTCAATCTCACGTTTACCAACTTACCCGTGTATTTTGAATGTCTCGTTATGCCTACTGCTTTGTTTGAAACAGATCAAGAAACGAAGAATTTTTTTTTCTCAATAAAGTTTTCTTTGTCAGCATCAGCAGCCCACAACCGGAGATTATTAAGGGTAACTAAATTTAAAATGATGATGGAGACAATTTAAAATTCCGGATAAATCGTTTGCATATTTTTATAAAACCATCTTCGCTAGCCAAAACCCTTCGTTTGCAAAGGTGCATTTAAACAATTAACTTTATAAATGGATTTAAATAAATGAATGTTTTTTAAGCAAAAGGGAAAATAAATAATATGTCCTCATTTGCCTCCCCCTTTAGTTTGCAATGCCTGTCATAATGCTACATGTATCCCCTAACTCAAAACATTGCCATGGGACCCTATCTATATTCGTCAAAAAGTTCAAGGGCTGACTGTAGAAAAATTAACAAGATATGTTTTTAAAACACTTACATATGCCCCCTTCCCCCAAAATTAGAATTTTTTCAAGTCCAAAGAGGCATAAAGTTCTCTGTCAAAAACGGTGCAATTAAATCCAAAACAGAACATCACTTAGGTATTTGTCTGATGAATCTGTATACTAAATTTCATTTCAGTATGTGCTACCTCTCTGAAGAAAATGAAAGTGAACTGCAAATAACTGGAATTTTTCTAAGTGCAAGGGGCATAACTCTATCAAAAATGATGCGATCGCACCCAAAATAAAACTTCACCTAGATATTCATCTGATAAACCTGTATTAGTACCGAATTTCATTTCAGTATTTGCAGCGGTTGTGAAGTTATGCGGACTCCAGACCGTGGTCTGAGACAATGCTATTTATGAAGCTTTAATTTAGTTGATTGATGCTTCTCAGTGATATAGAAGCAACTCAGCCTTAAAATCACAGAGAACTTAATTCCCTAAGGGTCGATCCAGTGTGTTGACTCAGTACCTCTGGTTATTCGATGCACCCCCCCCCCCCCAATCATATGATTGTCTCCTTTCATAGTAGAGCACCTTCAAAAAAACGTAAACAACCGATAGTCACAGGTGAGGTATATTAAAGGAGTTCTACAAGACATTTTTCAAACAAATTTTATTCAAGAATCTTTTCATTCTGTTCAGTTTCTTGGCATCCCTGATCAGTATTTACTTTATCCGAGTTTCTCTCTTCCTTTGAAGGACCAGCTTTTTTGCTGACATAACTGAACCTTTCAGAAAATTCTGCCTTGGACAGTTGGTCTCTCAGAAGTCTATATTTAGTAACAAGGAAGAAGTCTGGTAATGGCGCCTGTATTGTAAACGGCTCCTTCTTGGCCTTCTTCAGATGAACAATGTCGACCGCTGACCGGTGGAGAAATGGGGGTAGGTTCTGTACATGGCCCTGATTGATTTCTAGATTCTGTAGGATTCCCTTTGACAGCTCCTGGAAAAAATAAACTTTCAAATTGGTGTTTAATATGATTTAGTATCTGACAACTAGGGATATTTGTTGACATACATGTAAGTACAATGTACTACTAAGCCTCAACCAGTTTAATATGCATGTTTATATAATTTTGATATTGACATCTTAAATTTTTGGACACCTCTTTTTCATTGTACAGAACTCAATACCTGAGGCCTGGGGATACCAGGCCAGGGGGCCATAAAACTTAGACAAGCTTACTTTTGATCTCAGTCTCACTTTTCCACAGTTAATTTCTTTAGAAAAAGTGAGAATGAGATCAAAAGTGAGCTTATCTAAGTTCCAGGCCAGAATCTAGAATTTGTTTCAATATCAAACCATTCTGTCCTCCCTTACATTAACAACCCTCTAGATACGAGGGTTGATCCAAAAGTAATGTCACAACTTCGATAAAAATTCTCCTAGTCGACGTAATTTAACAAAATTTTACATGATGGAAGCTATATTTATTTGAAATCAGTCCTGAAAAATTCAAATTAAAATGATTTATACTTTTCAAAATATCGAATTAAACACAAAGTGCGATTATGGTAGTCGCCGCACCTAAATAACGTCATAAAACTGATATGCGCCGTCACACACTTTTAAAAACGCCTTCCCATCGTTTTATTAAGAAATTGTTATTCTCAAAACATTCAACTATTTAATTTTCTTTAAGAACAATTGGCACCAATTGTACACTTTATCTATAATTTAATCCTTCATAAAAATTCTTTGACAAACTTAAAAGTGTCTCATAATACTCAAACTGTCACTGATCTCTTTTACGACAACGTCCACGCCATTGAACGTTTTCACCCGACCTCCTATCTTTTCGGTATTTTGTCCCTAAATGATCATTTATTTACCTATTACCCGCCCAAAATCTCTGAAACCATCTATGAACAAGTCTCTCGTTAACATTCTTTCCTCTACGAGTTTGATTTACCATCATAACTGTTTCTACTTGAGATTTCTCGATTTTGAAGGAAAAATACACTACAAGTCGTTTCGGTATTTTATTCCATTTCGACATTTCCTTTCTGCAATACATCAGATATAAACAATACTGTTTATGATGGAAAAAAAAACAAATGCTGCATTTAATTTTTTACTAAAGATAAAAAAATGTCGTAAATTTTGTCTTTTAAAATATTGGACGATTAGACGATTTTTTAGATGCTTTTTCAAATGTGTTTGTCTTTTTTCATTCTAACAATATTAACTTTAAAACGTGACGTTTAGCTGTGACGCAGCGACACTCCCTATGTTTAATGTTTTAAACATCTATAAAAAGAATTCAATTGAACATTATTAAATGAAATTTTCAATTTTGATTAGATTTATGTTTATGCATCTTTTGGTGCATTATATTTGATAATATGACCCCAAATATTAAAGATATGGACACAGTGACATTACTTTTGGACCAACCCTCGTACATACGTGAGGCCTGGGGATACCGGCAGATGGTATTTGTTATAATATTGTAACATTCTATCTCCCCCCCCCCCCACACACACTGCCTGCCTTCCAGATACATACCTGAGGCCTGG